GGCAGCCTGTGTTATGTTGTCTCAAGAAAAGACCAAGCAAAAATTCTGGTGAAGAAGCCAAAGCTTCTCCTTCCCAGCTGTGGAGGAAGAAAGCTGCTGACCTATGTCAAGGGCTGGCTGCTTTTACACAGAGCAGAACTCTGCTCAGCTTTTTTGAGGGAGATGAGACCATCGATAGGATTTTCTGCCTGTAGTTTGACTGCCCCTTGTGGGAGGGGAGAAGTAGTCCCAGAGAGCTTCCTAGCTGGATGTACATCTTCCCTACACCAACCAAAGTTAAAGCAAGCAGTCGTAGCTGGTTGAGTCCTTTCTAGTGTTTACAGAGCAAGGAACAACCTCTGCCTCTCTCAGCAGCCTCCGGTGAGATCAGATGGCTGACTCATTCTGTAAGCATCTATTACTGCTTGAGTAAAGATGGCAGAATTTTGACCTATAGAGCATTTGTGCCATGCCAGCTGAAAAATCTGCCCTTCTGCTTTTGACAGCCATTGGTTTTGCAGGGCACACTTTAATGTTGAAATACTCATTAGGAGAAGGGCACAGCTGGAGCAGTCTGCAAGGGGCAAGCACATAACATAAAGGCAACACTAAAACACCACTAAAACTAGACTGGGTGAGTCAGGGGACAGGTTGCTTTTAAGTTTATTTTTGAGATCGAGCGAGGAACCAAGACTCTTTGAAGGGAATTTATAAAGTCGACAAAATTGAACTCTTTATGGTAGTGGTAGGTGGTGCAAAAAGGGCCAATGGCTACGATTGCAGCTTGGGATGCTCAGACTGGATATTATGGTAACCATCTTCCCCAGGCAGGTAGTACACACTGGAACAAGTTATGCAAGAACTTGTGCAATCCCATCCTTGGAGGTTTTCTAGATTTAACTGGCTAAAGCTGTCGCTGACCTGGTCTGGCAATGGTGATGATCCCATTTCGAGCAGGAAGTGGGACTAGGCACCTTCAGAGATGCCTTCCCACCAACACTGCCATAATTTGGCAGATTGTGATGGACAAAATTTGGTAATGAATTAGGGGGCACCGATCTTCACCATGTCTATAGTCATAGAATGACAGAAGCATAGAATGATAGAATCACCTAGGTTAGAAAAGACTTTTAAGATCATCAAGTCCAACCATTACCCCAGGACTGCCAAGTCCACCAGTAAACCACTAAGGGCCTCATCTACATGGTTTTTGAACACCTCCAGGGGTGATGATTCCACCACGTCCCTGGGAAGCCTCTTCCAATGCCTGACCACCCTTCCGGTGAGGCCATTTCCTCTTGTCCTGTCTCTTCTTATTTGGGAAAAGAGACCTACACATACTTCGCTCCATCCTCCTTTCACATAGTTGTAGGGTGCGATAAGGTCCTCCCCTGAGCATCCTTTTTTCCAGACTAAACCACCCCAATTCCCTCAGCCTCTCCTCATGAGACTTGTGCTCCAGACCCTTCACCAGCTTTGTTGCCCTCTCTGGACCCGCTCTAGCACCTCAATATCTCTCTTGTAGTGAGGGGTCCATAACTGAACACAGGATTTGGGGTGCTGCAGTCCTATTCCCTCTGTCAACAATACGTCTGGTCATGCTTCTGTCTTTAGCCTGTGGAAACCAGAGTGCAGGGGAGGAAGGGTTGATGGGAGAATGCTTGTTGCTGCCATGGAGTTGGATTTTGCCTTGATACAGAAGTGCTTGCAAGTTGTATGATTTATCATACACTGCCCATTAGTTATCATACAAAACCAAATTGTGCTGGAGTTTTGGACAAAGATTAAAACCAATTGATTGATACTCATGAATTTCATGTAGTGTCTGGGACCTGCCCTCACAGGAATTAGGAGTTCTCTGCTGTCACTGTGGAGCCACTGACAGGATTCCACTAGTGAGGGAGGAAAGGGATGGACACAGCAAATTGGATGGACAAACACAGCACATCCATTCCCTATATACGTGTAATCCACTCATGTGGAATAGAGAGTTTCTTACACAATTAGCTGGAGTGAAAGTAGCTATTGAAAGAGACTGCACAGATTATATCACTATATAAATTATTGAGCTGATGTCCTGGCAGATGATAGAGGAAACCCTTCTTTCTTCAGTCCTGAGGATGGCAGCATTGAAAGTTTATACCTGCTTCCTGGAAGTTGTGCCTCCTGTAGACTCTGCTTAGATAATTATTTTGCAATATTCATCAGCCAGAGGATCAATGTAATATATAGACAAACAGAAGGATTTTATACTTATGTATTCACCCAGCCATGTTTTTATTTCTGTGGGTGAAACTGTTGTTGAATAAATAGCAAAAAACCCTAGTATTTTGATATTTATCTGGTTAATACTTCTGTGCAATAATTATAAGCATTAGTGAATCACAAGCAAGACACAGCCCTGCTTGGCTGTAACTAGCTACATAAGAGACTCGATGCTTTTACTTAGCATCTGCAAAGTCACAGAGAATGTCCAGTGTACGAGTGGGAGAGCTGTGCTGCACCTGATATCACTCATATTATTCTCCCTGGAATACACTCCATACATTCTGCGTATGGTCCAGCTAGATCCCTGCACTTGTTGGAGCACAGGGACTCCCTCTGTATAAAACTGGGCACCCATTAGCTATTCCTAAATAGAGAAAAGGTATGAGGAGCAACTCTCCTCCCCAACTTTCCTCTGACCCCAGGAGGAATTAGGTTCCTCTTGTTGCATATCAACATTTCCAGGCTAGTTTCCACTTGGACCTTTTCTAAAATTTACCTGAGCATTGGCTTACCCCATCCCTGGTGAGCACCCATGGCTGCAGTGATGGGAGGTGAAGGCATAGTCCCTGCATGCAGTTTGGTGCCATGCCCACAGGGACCTCTAACCGGAAGAGTCTGCCTACTGTTTCAGAAACAATGCTTTACACATAGTCACCTCCCATACCACTGGATCCAGCATTTTTATGTGCCCCCCCTTTCGCTTCCCTTTCTCCCAGAGGGACATCCAAGACCCCTCAGGTTGTGGAGTCTTGTGACAATGGTGCAGACAGAAGAAACATCATGTCTGGAAGCAAAGGAGGCAGTCAGAGATGTGGAATGAGATCTACTGGGGCATTCAAATCTACAAGTGCCAGGAGGCTTTCAGAGCAAAAACAGTGCCCATCTCATTCTCTTTCCCCCTGTCTGGAATAAAAGAAAGAATGAGATGCAGATCTGTACCCTCTTGCTGTTTTTCTGCACGGTTGTGCTTGCTGTGTACAACAGATGGAAGGCTTTATTGAGGGAAAGCAAACACAAATTAAGCAGTTTTCCATTTCATGTGGCTGTTGTGAAAACTGTGGTTATGTGGTTGTTTGGAATTTTGGGTGGTAAGTAGGCTCTACCATGCATCTTTCTTGCATCCCCCAGCCATCGCGCCCAGGGTCAGCAGGTCCCTGGGTTTTGGAGCAGTAGAAATCTTTCTGGGGGAAGATCACTTATTAAAAGAGAGATGCCGAACTGCAGTTGTTGTGCAGGACTAATAAAAATTAAGCCAAGCCTGTTGATCAGTGAACAGTGTAATTTCAGGCACACCTTCCTCTGAAACTGGTTTCCTCATTTCCTCCTGAGGATACATGTACTACAGCAAGAATTCCATTCAGCAAAGCCAACGTTTTAGGCTTAGAGAGACATCTGACAATAAAGGCAGATGTCTCAAGGGATTTGTGTCAAGCTCACCTACAAAGCTACCCCTAGTACCCAAGTATCTTCATGAACACTGACTGGCTGCCACCACTCACTTAAACTCTCAGCTATAGAAGTGATGAGAGACAGATTAGAAAGAGTTGTGTTGAAAATGGGGGACAGTTGGTTTATACTGACATGGTTATTGTTGGATTTTTCTAATTTTGACCCTCACGTGGGCATATCTGTGAAAGGTCAAATGATAAGAAACATCTCTTACGTTCCGCACACAGCCCTCTGCTCTGCCTAGTGAATATTTTAGTGACCCATTTACAGCAAGCGGCTTTTATTGAGCAGAGCAGGCAAATGCAGAAGGAAACAGAAGCCCTGTCTTCCTTGTGACAGTTATATGTTTGTCTCTACATATGTAATCCACCCTCTCAGCCTGATAAACAAAAGCCTGTGCACAAGTTTCGAAAGGAAGGTGACCATCCCCTTCTGTGATCTGAGCATTTTCTGGCGAACACCTCAGCCACCCCGTAAAGCAGGTAAGTCTTAGCTTTTGCATGGTGATATTGTTCCCAACTCCAGTCTTACCTTGAATTTCATTCTGGCTTTTTAATGTCTCTCCTGGGGCTTAATCAACATAATGTTTCCCTTTCACCTCATTTCTATTTTAGGTTAATTTTTGAGTCAGCTACTCAGCAACTAATTGCATTTCCACCTTTTTTCTTGGTGGTGCTTCCCTGTGTACCTTCTTACTGCATGCTCTATGAAGTAAACCCTCAGAGATGCCTTGCTCTGTTTATTTCAGATAATTTACAAGAAAAAATGTCAGCCCAAGCAAACACAACTGCATAAATCGAAAGCTGCTGCTTCTATCCTTATTACTGGTGATTTTCCTCTAACCATCTAAGAAACTGGTGTGGAGCATTCTGTATAACTCATCCACTTTGGCTGCTGTTATTTCTTGATCTCATTTTCTTAAGAAAACTTTTGAATGAACAGGTAGGAGGTTGTGCCTTCATTTTTCCTATGTTTTCAGCTATGGGTATGAGACGTTTCGTTTTACAGTAGCTTTGCAAAATGGTGCACAGTAGATCACTGTCTTAAATAAAGTCCTTCCTTTCCATTTACCTTTCTGAAGTAATTGCTAGTGAGTTCAGGACAATGCTTTGTTTTTAACATTCTAGCCTTGCTCACACACAGCTGTGAGAGTGGATCACCGAAAACCCATCTTTTTCAGTTCTGGTAGCAATTTCTCTCTTCAGTTAGCTCTCCATCCCTTCCCTGAGGCCAGCCTTTGGTTTGGCTCCTGTGCAATGTCACTGACTCTAAATCTTTATCCTGCAGATCTCCCTCTCCTTGTTATGTCCACACCGCTGGAGGATGCGATGGACACCTTGATCAGGATTTTCCATCACTACTCTGGCAAGGAAGGAGACAGATACAAGCTCAGTAAAGGAGAACTCAAGGAGCTCCTCACCAGTGAGCTCACTGACTTCCTTTCAGTAAGATGCAGCTCCTGAACCTCTTGATTTAGTTTCATGGGTAGGAGAAGCAGATATCCAAGTGTTTAGGAATAGCATCTCCTTCTGAAAGGCAAATCCTGCCAGACAGAAGGAGATGAGATCAAGATCTGCTTTGAGAATTGTATTTTCAGAGGGTTGCCCAGCGCCGGTGCCCTGCCACCGGTGCCACCAGCAGCAGAAACAGGTACCTTACTTACCTTGCTCTACTTACTCCTCTGTGCGTTAGAGCAGGAGGAGAAGGGCTACCTAGAAGCAGTAGCAAAATTTATGCTAAAGCAGATTTTAACCAGTTTTTTTTTTTTTATTTGTTCGTTTTTAATAATGGGATATACGTAAGTCCTTCAAAGAATTCAATCCAGCTACCAGTTCTCATGAGACAAGAAAGAGCTTGTGCACAGTGGCTACAAATGCAGTACAGCTCCTTGTGTGCCCTGTGCAGAGATGATAAGAAAGTCCTTTCAGCGATAAGCTGCTGATCTGAGTATCTCTTTGCATGTTTGTTATGTTCTGCATTACCCAGCATGGGTGCTTTTTATGGAACAATGACCACATTCATAGTTGGGTTTCTCTATCCTCTTAACCATAAAAATTTTTGTGGATGCTGTAACCACCAGCAAGATTTTTTTACATTGAGTCTATTTCCTTGAATTGGATTTTCTTTTAACCTTGGCTATTGATCGATTATTACAACATTCACTGTTCTTACTCACACTGAATAGGATGTGTTTTTAGCTAAGCAGAGATCTTCTGAATGTGATGAATGGATGTATAATACGAACACTTACTAATAGCCTGTTGAAAATCTAAGTACTGTTTGTTAAGGGATAATGCAGAGAAATGCACATTATAGATCCATCTTGTCAAAAGAAAGCAGTGCTTAGCAGCTTATGAAATCTGTTTGATTCATTTCAGTCCTTATGTAGCACCTGTATTTATTCTAAGAGCTGTGCTGTCTTCGGTTTCTGTTGCTCTGCACTTTTGGGACTCCAGACTTCTGTTTTTAATGCTGTGGCTAGTGGCATATTAATAGTCAGGTGCATACTGCATGCAGCCTTTTATTTAATAGCACCAGGGCTCGTGACATAGCAGTGGGTTGCACTGCCAGGTGTGACAGAGCTCCGCATTCAAGATCTGCACAGCTAAGTCACTTTTCTTTCTCCTTAGGGCCAAAAGGACCCACATCTGGTTGATAAGATTATGAAAGACCTGGACTCCAATAAAGACAATGAAGTGGATTTTCATGAATTTGTCGTTCTGGTTGCTGCTTTGACTGTGGCATGTAATGATTTCTTTGAAGAACAGCTTAAGAAAGAGGGATTTTAAAAATGCTTAATACACAAATGCTAGCAAAGCATGCCTAGTTAGGTAGCCCTCATCAGCATTTAGTGAATGCAAAACATCATCCCTCCAACTGTTACTGCTCTAAGACATTTACAGAGCAGATCAGCAGCTGGTGTAAACTGGACCAATGCCAGTTTACACCACTTGAGATCTGCCTTTAATATTTTCAGGTTTTGTGCCGCATGCATTTGTAACATGTATTCATTCATCAGTTGCTGAGGTCAAGGGCTTGGTGTGACAGATCATTTGGCAGAAGATGAGACTTTTATTTCTTAACTGCCAGTGGAAAGTAAAAGGCACAGGAATGTTACTTACATACTTTCTGAATTGGAAAATTTGGAATGAGACATAAAACTTGCAATTAAGTTTTCAGTCATTCTGTAACAATCATATTTCTTGCAGCTCAAAAAAAGCAGCTTGGGTTTTGCTCAGCTCTGCTCATTCTAAAGCCCTTTTCAGATGCTGCTCTGTACCTCCGCACACTCTTGTATTTCAGATGTGGTCACAGCTGTCTCCTGCCGCCTGAGCAGACGGTATTGCTTGCCATTGTTACGGGTTCATTTCCCCCACTTCCCTTGCTTCAATTTTGTTGTGTTGGCATTACTGCATCCCAGTAGTCCACCTCTTCATTCAGCATAAATGAATTTATTCATATGTTAAATTATTCAAATACATGGAAGATTTAGTCAGCAAACTGCTTTGAGGGATGATGGAAGGACTGGGTCTTCAGGGGAAATGTAAATGCCTTCTGCTTTCACAATTCGGGCACCCTCAAGAGGAGAACTTTTAGAGGACCACTAGTGGGGGATTTGATGATAGGATCTCATGGTACAGCTTTGTAGTGTGAGTCATTTTATGGAACAATGATTTCATCTTACAGTGATCCAACACATTGCATGGAAGCAATGCAAAAGGGGCAGTGGGACCTAATGGCCAGGCTTGGAGAGAGTATTAAAAATCCCTTTCAGTGTTAACCTGCTCTTGGGTTGAATTAAAAGTACTTCTGCACTCTTGTTTGAATTAAGCATACTTCCAAACCCCTGTGAATCCTCACTGACAGCGTCATGGCTTTTTTATTGCATGGAGAGCTCTCTTTGTTTCTTGTTGTTTAATGGTAACTTCAAACTATAATAAAAGGTGTCTGAATTAAATAAAGATTTGCTGTTTGTGTAAGTGGTTAATAAAAAAATATCCCCCAATGAAGACGTGCCCTGCTAGGCAACAGCTGAAGAATGCACTTCACCTGTCTCTCCCCCCCGTCCCTTGGACGTCATTCAGATAAGACTATATTTGTATAAAATCACATATCATTAAGAAGATGTAATTTATTATAAGAAGGGGATTCTGCAAGATCTAAGAAAAATTACAAGGGGAAGACATCATCCTAAGAATGAAGCCACCACAAAATCATGTTATCCTGGAAAAAAGGAGACTTAGCAGTGGATGCAGAGGCACAATGTGCTGCCTCTTTAACTCTTCAGTGATGGAAGTTACATAAAATTCACAGAAGATCTTCTAGGGGAATACAGCTAAAAATACTAAAGTAAAACTGACGACAATTGCACGACTTTTTGCCCCCTGCAATGTTGTGCACCTCAGTATCATTGCAGTTGTTGGACCAGGATGGCAGGACTATCAGCCAGAAAAAAGTAAAACTGCTTTTATGGTTCACCATAGGTGCTGCAGAATGTTTCTAGTCTCCCACCTTTTCCCCTTCCTTCAAGGGAAAGGGAGAAGAGAGCAGCCTAAAGCTTCAACCGCAAGCTAAAAGGAATAAGATTGTTCCAGTAAGGACCAGAGACTTCATTATGACATTTGAGCAAGAGGCATATTGGGAGCAAGCTGCAGAAAGTCATAAACACTCTGCTCATCCCTGATAAGCCCCTGGACACATAGCAGCCTGTGTGCCAAGCAGAATTATGCTAAATCACAGCTGCCGACATCACCATGCCCTGGGGTCAGGCAGGGAGAGATGATGCCATGATAGAGGGTCAGTGGAGGCATCTCATTAGCTGAATTTACTAGGGATTGAGTGCAGTCTAATTCCTCTGTGGAAGGGGATTGCTTGCACATGAGCTATAGGTGAATCACAGGAGAATGACTCAAATGATCTTTATTCCAATGAAAGTTTTATAAAACCTCATAAGTCACCATTTTTGGCTGCTTAGGTCTTTCTTGTTGCTGTTTTAATTGCAAGGACAACTGTTAAACTCTACCAGCTTTAAAGAAGAAACCCTTTTGCACTGAGGACTAAAGACCAAGCAGAAAAGGAAGAAAATGCTACAAAGCACATTCTGATCCTTGCAAACACAAAGCCATGACACAATTTGGGGTTCCAGGGTAAAGGACTTGCCATCCTAATCTTGGGCTAACCATAGGATGGCCCACTGAACCAATTGGTCATTCCTCTGCTGTTCCCCTCCCACAGGAGCCAAGTAGTGCTGCATTAGTAGACACCACTTCCAAGAAAGATAGGTGAAAATCACCTGGAAGTTTTGAATTGCCTCTGAACCAGAAAAACGTGTGAGCAATCCTGTTTTCTGTGAGTAGTCTTCAGGAAGGAAGTCTGCATTGAAGCCATTTATACTGGCTATGCAAGATGGTGCTTGGACAGCCAACCTCACTACAGCCACTTTGTCCTGCATATGTGAACATTTTGGGTTTAGCTTCTTTCAGAAAGGAAAAATGATTCCTTCAAACATGAAGGCAGTAGTTTTTTTTCTCATTGTTT